AAACTGTTGGTTGTCAAGATACCCGCGCCCCAACAGGTGTGTCCATGATAATGGTTCAGAATTCATCGGGACCCCATTTAAACAGTTGCTGAATCAATATGGAATTAAGAGTGTCCAGACAACTGTTAAGAATCCACAGGCAAATGCAGTTTGTGAAAGAGTGCATCAGACTATTGCCAATGTTCTACGAGCGACMCTTCATAGCAAGCCCCTTGAGGAAGCTGACTTTGATGAAGATCAGATAATCGACAATGCCCTTGCATCTGCAATGCATGCTACCAGGTGTGCTGTRAATGCTGCAGTGAAGACATCACCAGGCGCTTTAGTATACAACAGAGACATGGTTATGGATATCCCACTCATTGCTGATTTGAAGCTTATCAGAAATGAGAGACAACACCAAATTGATGAGAATCTTAGAAGAGAGAACGCCCGGAGAATACCATTCAAATATCAGATCGGGCAACAGGCTTACATGAAACACTATGAACCAGACAAGCTKTCCCAAAGATTACATGGTCCTTACCCCATTGTGGAGATCAACACTAACGGAACTGTGGTGTTGCAAAGAAGTGACAACGTACATGAGACGGTCAACATCAGGAAGCTTGTTCCTCACAAAGGAACTAATGCAAATGCCACTCCTGAAGAAMCAGCTGCAGAGGAAGAACCCCCTGTTGAAAATATTGAAGATATGATTGCTACAGTTTAGTAGTAATACTGAAACCAGTATTCCTGTGTGGGATAATGCAACATATGGATGAATCGTTACGTACGATACGAAGCTTCGAAGAAAGGAATGAAGGATCTGCTGCAGTGAAGACATCACCAGGCGCTTTAGTATACAACAGAGACATGTTTATGGATATCCCACTCATTGCTGATTTGAAGCTTATCAGAGATAAGAGACAACACCAAATTGACGAGAATCTTAGAAGAGAGAACGCCCGGAGAATACCATTCAAATATCAGGTCGGGCAACAGGCTTACATGAAACACTATGAACCAGACAAGCTTTCCCAAAGATTACATGGTCCTTATCCTATTGTGGAGATCAACACTAATGGGACGGTAGTGCTACAGAGAAGCGACAATGTACGTGAGACGGTCAACATCAGGAAGCTTGTGCTGCGTAAGGGAGCTCCTGAAGACCCTACTACAGAGGAAGAACCCCCTGTAGATGCAGTTGAAAATATCAAGGATATGATTGCTACAGTTTAGTAGTAGTAATACTGAAAGCAGTATTTCTGTGTGGGATAATGCAACGGACGTACGTACCGATGAATCGTTATGAAGCTCCAAAGAAAGGAATGAAGGATCATACCACCATGCCCATCTCTTCCCAGAAGACATGGAAACCTTTTTATCAACTGCATCTACTTCTATGCTCTCATATTACCTTCGAGTTTATGAGAAAACGATTCTGGCAAGTGTTACCAAAGCAACACTTGCATCTGTCTCCAACACCAGACCAATTACC